TGGCCTCTGGCGGTGCTTCGTCGAGGCGGGAGCTACTCTCTCCGCAGGAGCTGCGCGAGTGGTTTGCCCGGCGCTGGAGCCGTGCTGCTGGAGCTGCTGGAGCTGACGGTCCTGCTGGAGCTGGAGCTGCTGAAGCTACTGGAGCTGGAGCTGCTGGGGGTGTTGGCGCTGGAGGTGCTGCTGGCGCTGGTGCGTCTGAGGGTGCTGGAGCTGGCGCTGTTGGAGCTGGAGGTGCTGCTGGCGCTGGTGCTGCCACTGGGGGTACTGGTGCTGTCCCTGCTGGTTCTGGAGGCGCTGCGAGGCCGCGGCCGTACTTCGTTCCGCTCCTTGAGCAGGTTCTTGGTCTCCCGCCCTCTACTGGTCCTGCTCCTCCCTTAGAGTGTCCACAGCCTGTCCAGTCGCGGTCACAGTTACAGCCCGCCTCCCCCCTGCCTGCTCCTTCTCCCTACACTGGTCCTACTGGATTTCTTGCTGAGCGTCGTGAGCCTGCGTCTCGTCCTGCGTCGCCTGTTCGTACTGCTCGCACTAGTAGTCATGCTCCGCGTCCGCGTCCTCCTGCGGTCCCAGGCACACACCAGATGGCACTGCGTCCTTCCACTGCTCCTCTGCGTGTCCCGTTGCCGTCTCCTCCAGAGTCCTCTCTTCCTGTCCTTGCTGACCCGGAGTCTGACTCTCTTCGTGCTGCCAGTCCTACTGTCACGCGTCTCCTGGCTACTGTTGTCACTGACCCTTCCTTTGAGTCCACTGCTGCGTCTGCCTTAGTTGCTGAGCTTGTCGACTTTGCTGCTCGCTGTCGTCTAGACTACGCCGCTAGTCTTGTTGCTGAGTCTGAGTCTGTCTGTCCTCCGTCCGTCGGGGGTGAGTGTGCTCTTAGCACGGACGTCCTTGAGGACAGGCAGGAGGAGTTCCAGTGTTTTGCTGCTGCTTTGCCTCATCTCGTGTCCACGCTGATTGCCCCTGAGGGAGACCCGGATGCACCAGACATCCCGACTCCTCGATCGTACGCTGAGACGATCGAGGGTCCCTACTCCTCACAGTGGCAGTCAGCCATGGACGCAGAGATGGCTTCCTGGAAGTCCACAGGCACCTACGTCGACGAGGTTCCCCCACCTGGGGCGAACATTGTCAGTGGCATGTGGATTTTCAGGGTGAAGCGGCCGCCGGGTTCTCCGCCTGTCTTCAAGGCGCGTTACGTGGCTCGAGGCTTCAGTCAGCGGCAGGGAGTTGACTACTTTCAGACCTTCTCTCCCACCCCGAAGATGACCACTCTTCGGGTGCTGCTGCACATAGCCGCTCAGCGTGACTACGAGCTTCACTCTCTTGACTTCAGCACAGCTTTCCTGCAGGGCAGCCTACACGAGGAGATCTGGCTGCGCCGCCCACCTGGCTTCACTGGGTCGTTTCCCCCTGGTACCCAGTGGAGCCTCCGGCGGCCAGTCTACGGTCTCCGCCAGGCGCCCCGTGAGTGGCACGACACACTGAGGACTACACTTGCGGCTCTTGGCTTTGCTCCTTCTACTGCCGACCCGTCGCTGTTTCTGCGCACCGACACCTCTTTGCCGCCGTTCTACATCCTCGTGTACGTCGACGACTTGGTCTTTGCCACTGCTGACACTGCTGGACTCGCCCACGTGAAGTCCAAGCTGCAGAAGAGACACACGTGCACAGACCTGGGTGAACTGCGCAGCTACCTTGGCTTGCAGATCACCCGGGACTGAGCACAGCGCACCATTACCCTGACTCAGTCACACATGGTGCAGCAGGTCCTTCAGCGCTTCGACTTCACGTACTCCTCGCCTCAGGCCACTCCTCTGTCTACTCGCCACTCGCTCTCAGCTCTGCCTTCGGATGAGTCCGTAGAGCCGAGTGGCCCGTACCCAGAGCTTGTTGGCTGCCTCATGTACCTGATGACCTGCACACGACCTGACCTTGCATACCCTCTTAGCATCTTGGCACGCTATGTTGCTCCTGGGAGACACCGACCAGAGCACATGGCTGCAGCGAAGAGGGTGTTGCGCTACTTGTGCAGTACGTCGGGCATGGGGCTAGTGCTTGGAGGGCGACGTACAGTGGTCCTCACAGGTCACGCAGACGCTTCTTGGGCTGACGACCAGGCTACGCAGCGGTCGTCACAGGGTTACACCTTCAGCCTTGGTTCCGGCTCTGTTTCGTGGCGGTCTACCCGCTCGTCTTCTGTTCTCGGCTCCAGCTGTGAGGCTGAGATCTACGCGAGGGCCATGGCTGCACAGGAGCTACGCTGGCTCACCTACCTGCTGACTGACCTAGGAGCGCCGCCTCGTTCTCCTCCAGTTCTGTACGTGGACAACAAGGCCATGCTGGCCTTGTGTCGGGAGCACAGACTGGAACACAGAACGAAGCACATTGCTCTTCGCTACTTCCTTGCTCGTGAGCTGCAGCAGCGTGGTCAGCTGCGCCTTGCGTACGTGGCCTCTGAGGCCAACACTGCTGATATCTTTACCAAGGCACTTCCGCCTTGTGATCATCAGCGCTTCTGTACGATGCTAGGTCTTGTGCCTACTTGGCCTCACTTGCTCACTTCTTGACCTTGCTTGTACTGTGATCTTTCTATACCTGCACTTGCTTGTTTACCTTTATACATGATCTTGCATGTGAACTGGCCTTGTGGCCCTGAACTTGTGCTCGGACTGTGTGGTGACGTTGTGATCCACCCTGAGCTTGCTTTGCTTTGCTTGACTGGTTTTGTGACCTCTTGTTCTCCCCCACTTTGCCTGTGGGGGTGTGTTTAACTTATATGCTATAGTCTGTGTAGGCTGTAGTGGGGTAGACAATATGGGGTACAACATTTCTAGGTTTTCCTACTTGTACCCACCTTTTTCCTAGTTCATTCATTCCTCATTTCTTCACAGAATATTCTACCCTGGGTCATCAGTGTAACAATTTTTCAAGGCCTGTTGAAGTTTATATTAACACAGCACAGAATAACAATCTCAATCATCATCATCAGACATGCCACACGGGTGTTGTTCGTGCTCACTTTCCTCTTCTTGCTCCGGCACTTTCTCTTTGCCCTTTCTCTCCCCTGGGGTCGGCAGCGCCACTGATTTCGCCGGCCGTCTGGTTTTTTGCCTCGAATGCAACTGTAGTACTGGCCAATGGTGGCCCACTTCGTGCCAGCACACGTAATGTCGTGCCGAAATTTACAGTTACGACAGTTGGCACAGGGGATTCCCAGGTTACGGGGTAGGGGGGTTAGGGGAAGGTTGGGGGGGGGGCTTCGGGGGCTGGCTGAAACACGCTTCAGGGTAAAACTCGATAAGAGGACCGGCAACCCTGAGGCGACAGTGTAAGCTTAATCGTAAACCCTGGCACATCAGGGTAAATAAAGGTCCCAAAAATTTTACCCTAACGCATCAGTGTTCCTACCTAAAAACCACCCTGTTCATCAAGGCATCAGGGTGATTTACCCTGATAAAATAAGCCCTGATCCAGATCCTCCACATTGCCCTCTCCAAAATCAATTTCTGTGTTGGGGGATGTGGTGGAGGATCCAGTATGTGTGGGGAGAAGATTTTTGAGTGGACTCAAATATCGGCTGCGTTCTGTAGCCATTTCCCTTGAGAGGGAGGTGGGGGGGCGAAGGGAAGTGACGAGGGTTCCAAGGCAGTTTCCCCTTCGAATCCCCCCCCCCCCCCCCCCCCCTGCTACAACCGAAAGTTGGAAATTTCGGGTGTGGGTGCGAAGCTGCTGAAGGTAATGCCGAAAAAACAGCCACAATTTCCAACTCACAGAAGTTGGGTAGATAGAGCTCCGCGAAATCAGAAAAAGGGTTTAAATTTTGAGAAGGATTACCACGTAGGAAAAAAGGGTCCCACCTTGCACTCCCTGTTTGGCCTGTTTTTTTACCTGTTAGTTTGACGCGTCCCTTTTTGGGCTACTCAAGGGAGGGGCTGTTTGCTTTCCAGGGTTCAAGTGTGGCGTTCCCTAACCCAACACCTCCCTCCCCCCTCCGTCTCACATCCCGGGCAAGAGCAGTTTTCGAAAGGGGGGGAGGAGGAGGCAAATTTTGCCAGAGAAGGAAGGTGGGGTGGGGAAATAGGCAGCTTCCTACGCCCTCATATCCACGAGGGTAAATGGCTGTTCTGTTGCCATTACCTTCGTTTACGTTCGGAGGGTAAATGGGAGGCTCGGATCCATTTTCCGGGCTGACCGGGCGTTTGATCCAAAAAACGCAGTTGGGGGAAGGTTCTTATTTACCGCTCCCCCCCCTCTGTCGTGCCTGCAGAACGCAGCCCTCGAGTCGACTCAAAAGTCGACTCACTACACGCTTTTGAGTCGACTCAAAAATCGACTCACTACACGCTTTTGAGTCGACTCAAAAGTCAACTCACTACACGCTTTTGAGTCGACTCAAAAATCGATCCAGCATGTGTGTGGAGAAATCGCGCGCCCTCTGTCGGGTTCTGGAAGAGAGAAGTTGTCAGGCGAACTTCGAATTCAAGAGACGCTTCGCAACGAGGGTCCTCGTTACACTAACAAGATTATGGGAAATAGTTTTATAAAAGTTGCACAAAACAAAACGAAATTAGCAAACTTTGAAATGCACCTACATGCACCTTACAAAAGAAAAGAAAACCACCCTAACTAAACCTCACTCCCCCCCCCCTCTCTCACACACACACACACTCCCCTCACGCTCCTTCCCTTGCCCCATACCACAAACACAACACTTTATAAGCTAGGTGCCTCTATGAGCTTGACTGCCATTTCCGTCATCACTCTCCTTCACCGCCTCTCCAGTCGTCCTCTTTTCTTCCCCCGGAGCCAACGACCTCTGGTCGGGGCTCTTACTCATGTTATCCCGCTTCTTCCTGGGCTTCTCAGACTTCAGATTAGAGCAGTCCGCCAGGCAAATATACCCCCTGCATGTGCGCACAGGCTTGCACGTCTCCCCATCCTTGCACATGCCCGGGGTGCAATCTTTCGCTTGCCTGACGCAGCATCGTGCTCCGTCCCGGCTGTCACTGCCGCTGCTGCTGCTGCTGCTTCTTCCACAGCTCCTCCTGCCGCTTCCTTTCCTGGTATTCCTCATAGGCCTTCCTTGAGGCCTCCTGTTGAAGCCGGATCAACTCCTTCTCCTTTTCCAGCCGCTGCTGCTTCAACTCGGGTCGCTCCTGCTCCAACCTTTCCTGTTCCTTCTGCTGCTTTACCTTCTCCTGCCTCTGCAGCTCTTTCTGCCGCTCATTCTCCTTGTATTCCAGCATAGCCTTGTATGACGCCTCCTGTTGAAGCTTGATCATCTCCTGCTGCTTCTTCTTCTTCTCCTCTTCCTCCTGCAGCTGCTGCTTCTTCTTCTCCTCTTCCTCCTGCAACTGCTTCTTCTTCTTCTCCTCTTCCGCTTGCTGCTGGATTTTCTTCTGCGCCTCTTCCGCTTGCTGCTGCTGCTTCTTCTGCGCCTCTTCCGCTTGCTGCTGCTGCTTCTTCTGCGCCTCTTCCGCTTGCTGCTGCTTCTTCCTCTGCTCTTCCTCCTCCTGCTGCTTCTGCTGCTGCTGCTGCTTCTTCCACAGCTCCTCCTGCCGCTTCCTTTCCTGGTATTCCTCGTAGGCCTTCCTTGAGGCCTCCTGTTGAAGCTGGCTCATCTCCTTCTCCTTTTCCAGCCGCTGCTGCTTCAAATCGGGCCGCTCCTGCTCCAACCTGTCCTGTTCCTGCTGCTGCTTCACCTTCTCCTGCCTCTGCAGCTCTTTCTGCCGCTCATTTTCCTTGTATGCCAGCATAGCCTTGTATGACGCCTCCTGTTGAAGCTTGATCATCTCCTGCTGCTTCTTCCTCTGCTCTTCTTCCTCCCGCAGCCTCTTCTCCGCCTCCGTTTCCGGCTGTTTCTTTGCCTCCGCTGGCGGTTGCTTCCCCACCTCCGCAGGGGGGCGCTTCTCCACCACCCCCTCCTGTTGCTTCTCCGGCTGTCCCTGCTGCTGCTTCTCCGGCTGTCCCTGCTGCTGCTTCTCCGGCTGTCCCTGCTGCTGCTGCTTCTGCTGCTGCTGCTGCCGCTGCTGCTGCAACTGCTGCTGCCGCTGCTGCAACTGCTGCTGTCGCTGCTGCAACTGCAGCAACTGCTGCTGCCGATGCTGCTGCTGCTGCTGCAGCTTCTGCTGCACTTCCTGCCGCTTTTTCTCCGGGGATGCCAGCACGGTCTTGTATGGCGCCGCCGCATCAAGCTTTGTCGTCACCGCGTCCTGCGGCGTCGTCACCGCGTCTTGCGGCGTCGTCGCCGCGTCTTGCGGCGTCGTCGCCGCGTCTTGCGGAGTCGTCGGCGCGTCTTGCGGCGTCGTCGGCGCGTCTTGCGGCGTCGTCGGTGGGTCTTGCTGCGTCGTCGGCGCGTCTTGCGGCGTCGTCGGTGCGTCTTGCTGCGTCGTCGGCGCGTCTTGCTGCGTCGTCGGCGCGTCTTGCTGCGTCGCCCCCGCGTCCTGCCCCGCGTCTTGCTGCGTCGTCGGCGCGTCCTGCTGGGTCGCCCCCGCGTCTTGCTGCGTCGCCCCCGCGTCTTGCTGCGTCGCCCCCGCGGCCTGCTGGGTCACCCCCGCGTCTTGCTGCGGCTTCCGCCCCTGCTTCTGGAGTCTGCGCTGGAATGGAGCATCCGAGCATCCAATTCCCGAGTCGCCAGGGGATCCAGGCGCGGGATTCAGCTGCGCGAACAAAGATTTGTGTCCGAGTCCGGCTGCATGGGGGAATTCATGGGGCGCGACTCGGAGGAGACGAAATTAGTAGAGAACCTGAAGCTTCAAGCTCACGTACTCAAGTGCGTGAGCAAGTCCTAGTACCTGTGACACAGATTATCCGCTATGACTCATTACGTCAGCGAGAAAGGAAAATTCACTCACTACGCGAGGCCATCGTCATGAAACTCGTCTTACGTAGATCGTTATAGCTCGAGAGTCGCCGCCCCCGAGCTCCTTCGCTGCCCAGCGGCCCGCAGAAGACCAGCACGAGAACGAATCCAAGCAACATATTGACAAGCTGCGCTGACTAGCTCACGGTTGTTCAAAAGTGGTGACACTGGACTGGGGTATTTGATAGGTTCTGAGTTCAGGGCTTCGAGATTTATGCTGTGGTCAGGAGCTTCAGGGATGGAAGTCTACGACATGCACGGGTCAGGACTTCACGTTGAGCCCAAATCCCCTCAAATCGCACTTCGTGAATTATAGGAGTAAGCCAATAATTCGATTTCGTATTCCTCGATGACCAATCGCAGCACATGCGACGCGGCGGGTTGAATTATGGGAGGCCGGATGCGAATTGCTTGACTCGATCTTCGCCGACGGTTAGGATCTGGTCGCAAAGAGATACAAGCCTCATCTCGCGTTCCTTGTTGCTCTGACAGCGTTTGGGAACCGACTTGTGACGTGGTTACTTTCGATGACAGTTTCGTCGATACACCTTTCTGAATCCGTGCGTTCTCACTTCATTCTACCCCTTTGAATCATTCTGTAACCCTTTCATTCACTTGTCTGCAAAGTGCATAGAATATGTTAGGTTCAGAGTCCCATGACAACCGCATACAAACGGATGCGCTTCAAAATCAAATATTGGATGCTTGCCAACAGTCTGAACAATACGTCATTACGTTTAAAAAAACTTTTATGCTCTGGCTAGTTCGTGTTTGTGCATTATTAGTGCATGCATATTGTGTATATGCATCCCTGAATTTGTACACTGGCTGCATAACGAATTCAAATTTGATCGTGCAGGAGAACTCACTCAACTAAAGGGTGCACACGTCAACTAATATATTGCAAGATGGCAAGATGTCACCCAACCAATTCCCATCTCAATCAATGCATTTTACACATCCATACACTACCACAGAACCCTGACCTCCCATTTCCCCCACCCGTTCACGCTCCCTCATCCCCTTGCCCCATACCACACACTCATAATTACACCGTGTGCAAAGCATACCTATGGGCTAGACTTCCATTTGACCTGCTCGGGGCGCTTACTCATCTTATCCACTTTCTTCCTGGGCGTCTTAGTCTGCGGATTAGAACGATCTACCAGGCAAATATACCCCCTGCACGTGTTCATAGGTTTGCACTTCTCCCCATCCTTACACATGCCCGCGGTGCAATTTTTTTTCCTGCCGGACGCAGGTCACCATGCTTCGTCGCCGCTGCTTCTGCTGCCGCCGCTGCTTCTGCTGCCGCCGCTGCTTCTGCTGCCGCCGCTGCTTCTGCTGCCGCCGCTGCTTCTGCTGCCGCCGCTGCTTCTGCTGCCGCCGCTGCTTCTGCTGCCGCCGCTGCTTCTGCTGCCGCCGCTGCTTCTTCTTCTGCTGCTGCTGCTTCTGCTGCTGCTGCGGCTGCTGCTGCTGCTGCTTCTGCTGCTGCTGCGGCTGCTGCTGCTGCTTCCACAGCTCCGCCTGCCGCTCCCTTTCCCGGTATGCAAGCATTGCCTTGTATGACGCCTCCTGTTGAAGGCGGCTCATCTCCTGCTGCTTCTCCTGCTGCTTCCTCTGCTCTTCTTCCTTTTCCAGCCGCTGCTGCTTCAACTCTGGCCGCTCTCTCTCAAGCCGTTCCTGTTCCTTCTGCTGCTTCAGCTTCTCTTGCTCCTGCAGCCCTTGCTGTCGCTCATTCTCCCGGTATGCCAGCATGCTCTTGTATGACGCCTCCTTTAGAAGCTTGCTCAGCTTCAGTTGCTTCTTCTTCTCCTCTTCTTCCGCCTGCTGCTGCTTCTTCTTCTGCTCTTCTTGCGCCTGCTGCTGCTTCTTCTTCTGCGTTTCTTCCGCCTGCTGCTGCTTCTTCTTTAGCTCTTGTTCCTCCTGCAGCTTCTGCTTCTGCTGCTGCTGCTGCCGCTTCTTCCACAGCTCTGCCTGCCGCTCCCTTTCCCGGTATGCCAGCATACTCTTGTATGACAAATCCGCTTGAAGCTTGTTCAGCTCCAGCTGCTTCTGCCTCTCCTCTTCCGCCTGCGACAGCAGTTCTCGCTGCAATGAGGCATCTTGGGCGAGCAGGAGACCGCGTGAGTTGCCCAACATGGAGAATTTTACGAATCCCACTGTAATGGGGACAGTTTGGAAGGATTGAGAGCCAACAAATGAGCCAACAGATTTGCTCTGAGGCAACTTGGGCGAGCAAGAGACCGCGCGAGTTGCCCGAGTATGCAGATTCAAACAGGGAGCTATTTACGAATCCGAGTGTAACGGGGACGGTTTGGGAGGATTGGGAGTCAACAGATGAGGCAACAGATTTGCTCTGCGATGGGGCATCTTGGGCGAGCAAGAGACTGCGCGAGTGGCCAGAGTCCGCGGATGCAAGAATGGATCCCCCGAACGAAGCTTTGTCTACGAATCCGACTGTAACGGTGACGGTTTGGAAAAATTAAGATGCAACAGGGAATGGGAATAAGTGCCAAACAGGTGGTTTCTGGCAGTTGGTGTTGACATTCTGAAAACGGCGGCACGCGTTTTGCAGAGGATATCATTTTTTTTTCTTTTCGGAGCGATGTCAGGGTATGTCTCAGGAGCCTACTAGTTTAGGGGGATTTTCAAAGTTCCAATCACAGGTGATAGGAATGTGAACGTAGGGAGGCGCACAGGAAATGACACCAGATTGCATTATACGTCAGCAAGAAAAAGTAAACATAGAGCAAATAGTAATACAAAAACTCCATCGCCGATCCCCTCGTCGCCTATCCCTTATAATTTCCTCGCACAGCTATGTCGCCGCCTCGGCAACGAGAACGCTACTTACGTCGATTGCTCTGATCATGTTTGGCTGGAAGTCCTTCTTCTTGAGCTCCTTCGATGCCCCGCAGCCCGTACGCCAAAGCCAGCACAAGAAGGAACCTTAGCAACATGATGATGACGAACTTCGTCAGTAACACGGCAGCTTATTTCTGTCGAGAAATCAAAAGGTACGATTTCGGAATATGGTCTGAGAGGAGGTAAAATGAGCAGAAAACCACACGGCACGGGTCGTATCGTAGTCAAGCAATCTAGAATCTATCTAGGTGCATCTGCGGAGAAAGCTTTCCTCACCACAAGCAACGGTTGGATGGCGAGAAAGAAGAGGAACCCAAACCTCTCGGCCCAGTAATGCAAGTGCAATTATGCAATGCGCGAGCGCCAAATCAACTGCAAGAACCGCGATGCGGCGAAAGTTATATTGAACGACTAGACGAGATTCGCCATGGTTCGTGTGATTGCTCGCAACAGGCGAACCGCCGAATGCGCGGGAACGCTGCAACCGCCAAGCTCAAGTGCGATGCCCCCAATAATGCATGCGAGCGATTTTGACAGACTTGGCGACGGGCAAGTGTTACACCACACTAAAAATATTTGCCTGTCGTATGTGGTAGGAAACCATCACTTTCTTGTCATTCTGCTAAGCATCTCATTCTCTTCCCAACAACCACAACCTGACTAGACACGCACATGGTTTCTGCCAGATTATCGAAATTGGGAATAGATCAGGGCTCTTGCAAGGATTTGGGCTTGTCTGAAAACACCTAAGTAAAAAATCGTTCCGTCTGACGATCAGATGGGCATATTTTTCTGGTCTGATTTTCCAGACGAATGTTGGAGCTTAGTCTGATTTTTCAGACTATAAGATTTGCGTAGTCTGATTCAGTTAACACCCTTGTCTAGCATAATCACACTTGTTTTTGTTAATGAACGCGCCCATGGCGCGGCGCTGAGAGCTCGCTAGCTGACAGGCGTGTGGCTGTTGAGGGGCATGCACGTGGCATTGAGGTGCTGCGAGGGATCAGGTTGGGTGGAGGGACGCGAGAAGGTTGCAATTCGTCTGATACCGAACCCCCTCCCCCCCCCCCGACCCCACGCTTCTCTAAGCCCTTCGATGCCCTTGCTCCTCTTCCAGGCCTAGTCCAGACCTTCTCCCCCTCCCCCCCAACCTTAGGTCCCCTCCCCAGGTCCCCTCCACATGCCCCTTGTGAAGTCTCGCACCAGCAAGTATAAGGCTTGCTCTGAAAAATCAGATGAACTAAATTTCGTAATCTTACGGATCAGACGAAGTAAAAATCCTCGTCTTGAAAATCAGATGAAACCCAAAATCAAGGTCTGAAAATCAGAAAATCAGACCAATTTGGTCTGATAACGAGGGCCCTGGAATATATACAATTGGACTAGGCAAAAGTGCAATTTAAGCACATATGGACGTTCTTCAACCTTCGTTATAGCGGCAAAGAACATGTTTGGAGCTAGGTTGGGTGAGCGCATGCTGATTTTCTTACAGGAAATGTCGCATGCTTTGAGAAAGTATAAGGTGCAGCGGTTGGATTTGTTACGAATAGTAATACTTGAATATTACTGTGCACTCCTCACCGCAGCAAAGAGAAGCACGCAGTATCGCGAATGAACGCGAAGCGTCGGACGGTTGGAATCGACTCGAAACGTCAGACAGTTGGGACGCATCTGGACCGTCGGAGCAGACAGCATCAGGCAGCTGCAGGCAGGATGGTTTCGGTGGGAACAGTTTCGTAACTGTTCGCGCCGCACGGTTGGGAATGTATTTGAATAAGGGAATGTACCCCTTAGAGTACATGGCTAGCTAGGTCGTTTCATCTCCCCTGTACTCATATTTATATTTGCTATATTTGCATGTTTTAAATCATCTCAAAGCATTTTACAT